CCGTGGGTACATACAGAGTAGAGGGCCTTAGCAATTGGCCGCACAAGAAAAGCAGGAGGTGGTGCTGCTGGCAGCAATTGTAGCCGTGGTCGTGGTGGTGCTCGTGGCCTCAGAACTCGCGATGTGATTACCGTGGGAACATACAGAGTAGAGGGCTTTAGCATTTAAGGATGTGGGGTGTGGCACGTGGGAATCCGGGCTGCTGGGAGTGGGGTTGGAGGTTCTCGAAGACCCGAGCTGCCACGGCTTTGCCCCGCTGCAGTAAGGTTCTGTCGCCCGCTTGGATCCAGACAGCGCCTCGCGTTCAGGTCGTTTCACCGAAGGCCTTGACGCATGCACTACACGTGACATGACGTGTCAGATCATGTTTGCGGACCTTGGGCTTCATTGCGTTGTTGACAGAGAGCTTTGTAACGGAGCTTCTAGTATCGAGTTCCAAATCTCTACAGCTTCGTGGGTCGAAGGGTACATCTCAAGGATTCAGGCCACCTTTCAGATCTGCCCAGGTGCTTTTCGGCTCAGCAGGGAAATTGCACAAGGTTTTTCAGAGCTTTTAGGACACTACTGTATCATTAGCACTGTCAGCCATCATTGTCGTTGGTGGCCCTACTTGGGGCAGGCCCAAGCCCGTTCTCCTGAAGATGCACCTATCCCGCAGCTATGACCGTCGGAATAGGGGCCTTGAGCCTTGGGTTTAAGTGCATCTGAGCGGCTCGCACTCGTGTGCCATATCCTCGCCATGCCTGCGCCGACTATTCCGGCCGGCAAAGGAAGAGGCCAGTTTCAAGGGGTTCGATGTTTTTAACTTCACAAGAGGATGGGTTGTCCTTCAATCACTTTGCTGTTTTAGTGTTCCTATCTGATCTTTCCTTGCATTTTCGGAAAATGTTGACAGGGACAGAGAGAGAGAGAGAGAGAGAGAGGGAGATAGTGTCTTCCTAGTCCAATGTTGTCTTTTGTATTCTGGGTTTCAACGATGCCGGGGGAACTTACCGCCGAACATTGAATTCAGTTGGACGTCCATCGGGGAGAATTTAGTAGTTTCTGTTCATTTAGCACTTCTTCAAAAGCCCGCAGTGACGTCGTGGTGTCCCAACACAAGCTGTATCAGTGCCGGGGGGATTCCCATCTCTTTTTTCTGTTATCCTTGCTTCCCGAAAACAGGCACTGTTTCAGTAATCAAAGCATCTTCTCACACCCTCCGAAAGCCCCAATAACAATTGGGGGGCCAACTGGCCGGGGGGTTTAACAGACCCCTCATGTTCTGGGGAAGAAGAAGAGAGAGAGGAAAAAAGAGAGAGTCAGAGCGAGAGGAGGGGAGATGGGAAAGGGCATACACGATCGCCAGACACAGACACCCGATGGGGGGCATTGCTCCGCGTTCCTGACGCTTGCCGAAAGACTGCAAGAGAAACGACAAACATGCAACTTATTGTCGAGTGGTACGTAGCAGTCCTTGTGTTCGCCATCGTGCAGCTGCAGGTTGTTAGTGCGGGGGAGTGGGAGAGGGTGCCCACACGTTACGGTTGGTGCAGCAGGTTGCAGTTCGGGATCAGGAAGGGACAGGTATGCTCCTCGAACATGGGCGTGTTGGTGGGGCCCTGAGAAAGCTCAGAGAGCAACAAAGTGCGGAGTGCATGGTTGGGACAGCTCTTTGGACACAACAAGGCCTTAAAATTACCCGAAACCATAAACCACAAACTGCCATGTTCTCTTAGTTTTGAAGCTCCAACTGAAAGTTCCCAAATCGCGCAGCGACGACTCTTCCTCCTCTGGCACCGGGTATGTACGAAACCCGACATGTCAGATCCGAAGACCCTGCAGCAGGTGAAGAGCCAGATCATGAGGATGAGCCTCGTTGATTCAGATGCGGGTTGTTGTTTCCAGGTCCTTGTTACAAAGACAGTTCTTGATTATCGGCATAGAGCCCATAGTGCCCCAATAGGTTATGGAAGACTGGATGGGCACGCACAGGAGATTCCAACACCCTATAAACCCTATACCCTTAAGTATATCGAGCTGGGCGCCCTCAACATCCCCTTGTACTAGTAGCGCCTGTAAATGCCTGTAAGTATTCTAGTTTCCTACGCCTCCTGTATACAACCTGGCAGAAGGGCTGAGTTGTTTTTGAGGGCGTAGCTGGGCAACGATTCAAGATTTGCGATATATATGGGTGTGAGCGCAGAGTTTAGGACTTGAGGATGTTCTCGGCGGGCGGCTTAAGCACTTCTTTGGTGCACCTTTATCAAACCAAACCCTGGCTCAGTCTCGACTTTTGTGCGAGTTCGAGCCCCAAAACCTTTTCCAACTATCAAGGGCCCCTAAACCCGAAGCTCAGAAGCCCCTAAACCCTACCCCCCACTTAAAGGAACCGAAAGGAAGCCTGAAAGGCGGAGACTGAGCAGTTGAGGAGACTCCAAAAACCCTGAGAGCTAAGCGGCCTCGCACCTGGAACGGGCCACACGGTTGTGGGTTTGGGGTTTAGAGTTTAGGGTTTTGGGCTTAAGGTTTAGGCTTTAGGGTTTAGGGTTTTCAGGGTGTCAGGGTCAGAGGATGAAGATAGATTTAAAATCAGATGCCCGAAATGGACAGCGTCGCGAAGGTCCCGAACCCAGAAGCATCCAGAAGCAGCAAGGTCAGAAGCATCGAAGTTGAAATGCCCACGTCGGGAGTTGCAATTGAGATGCAGCTGGAAACAATGCGCAAGCAGTTGCTTTGATTTTCTCAGAAGCTTTCATTTAGGGTGGATACGAGGGCCGGGGGCTTGCTTGAAATCGCAGGTCGTAGGCCAAAGCCTTTCCCTCCAGTTACTGTTGCTGCCGGTTTTCGGTTGTCGTCACCGATGCTTTGTCCCGGGATTTCGCCATGCTCAGATTTCACCCCCTTTGCCTATCTTCCGCCTCTGTTGGGAGTTGCACTTGTGGCTTCGGCCCCTCTATCCCAACGTTTGCCCGGACATGGGCCTCGGGGTTTCGTGCCCGAGATGCATCGACCACATACCCGCGCACATTCCCAGCAAAGCCAGGTCGGGGATGTCATGACATAAGCCCAGGTTCGAGTCGGATCTTCTGCGGGTCCTGGAGCGCGTGCAGGCGTGCCGGAATAGTTTGTGTTTGGGGTCTTTGCAGGTATTGGACTGCGTTCCTGCCACTGCTCTGAAAGAGCGACAGTGCTGCAAAATTGAATGATCATGCATCCCATGTGCAGATCAGCACAGATTGTGGACTGAAGTGGGAAACTCCGAGACGGGGATGTGTCGGATGGTTCATTCTGCGCTAGGGCGAGGGCTACTTGTTGGAATGGGGAGGTGCTTCTAGCAGGGCTTATAGGGTCTGATTCATTCGCGGGCTTTGCAGGGCTGTGCTGTGTTCAGTACTCGTAGAGTCGTAGACCAGGTATAGCTGAGACTGCCATGCCCGAGGAAACCGAATGTCCCCCTCAAGGAGGCAAACTCTGAACCCTTGCATGTCTTGCTCTGAGCTTCTAAATCACCACGTGGCCCCCAACTTTAAACCCTTAACTTAGCCCCATAAGCCCTAAACCCTAAACCCTTAACTTACTTTAAGGGAGTCTGGGGATGACACTGCCACGATGATGTGGGTTGATGGTTGATCGTAACTCCTGGTGTCGTCTATTTAGGGCTTGGCAAAGTTATGATCTCTTCAACCCCATCTAGCACAGTTCTGTCATCCTCCTTGTTCCAATGTGAACCTCGCTAGTGGGCATAGATCCTCAGCTATGCGAGAGGGAAAAACCCCCTTAACTTAGCCCCATAAGCCCTAACCCTATTCAGCTCTGAATTCCAGAATCGAGCTTTGAGGCCTTGGAGGGACGCCTCGACATGCAGCATTCGTCTGTGGTAATTGGCCAGAAGATGAGCAGCAACGATGTGCTCCGGTTTTCTAACTGGCATTTTTCAAGGGCTCCACAAGGTTTTGGATTTTTGGACTGATGATGTCTTTGAAGCTTGCGGACTACTGGATGGGTGATCTTAAAGCTTGACAAGGACGTCGGGCACTGGGGGCCTGCACACTAGCTGTGGCATGTTTGCTCTTTCCGCTGTCAAGTTGGGCGAGTGGACGGTGAGTCTATCTAGTAGCCCTTGTAACTTAGTACCCCAAAGCCGTAAAACCCCGAAACACTAAGTGCAAGGCATGATAACTTAGGCTTGCCTGGAGTGCTCGACCCTCAACCCCGAAGAAATCTCAGAAGCAAAGTCCTTCAAATCTGTTATCAGTGACAGCAACACCCTAAAACCCTTGTTAGAGTCAGGTTGAGGTCTAAGCATCACCTCTTGGTCGGCTAAGGTCGAGCCGACGAAGGAGAACGTCCTCATGCCGAAAGCACCCAGAACTCCTTACATTAACCCGAAACACCCACACCCGAAATTCTAATTCTTGTGCCTGGGTTGGGCAGACGGAAAGGGGTGTGAAACAACAAATGCTTAATTCTAAACCCCTATACTGCTCGACTCCCGGAAACGTTGATCTAGCAGTGCCAAATGTGGGGTGCCAAGACATCAGACTAGCATGTGGGGCATTGGGAGTGGATGGTAAGGACTTCAACAACTTACGGCCCAAGAAAGGCTTGCCGAGCTCGTGTCATTGCAACAAGTAAGCAAGAGTTGGGCTTGTCACATTACTTTGAAGTGTGGGTTTGAGTCTGCCGTGGCCTGCGTGCTTCAAAGACACGTGGCCTAGGGTCCAGACTTTCGGTTGAGATTAGAGACTGCCTCTTTGCCAAAGATAGTGACACACTCTGGCATTGGCAGCCCCAGACCACTCAGGAAGCACATCAGCTGTCTCTCAGTTTGGAAATGTTTGGAAGCAAAAGAGATACGAATGGAACAATTGTCAGGCGACAGGTCCGAATTTGCCGAAGCTCGCACCCTGAAGCCTTGAGCATCTGCCCGCGAACCGACCGCAACATTTTGACCCTGTGTTCAAAGTCGGTTTGCAGTGCATTGAATCAGACTGCCTGCTCAAATTGCATGGAGAGTCCAAAACCTAAACCGGAGACTGAACAAAATAGGTTCCGACAACACGTAGGCCCAGTGGGAAGCAGACTCCAGGAGGAGCCGGTGCTGAACAAGCAATCGGAAGTCACAAATCCGGACGTGCCTATCCCGCGTGGTCAGGAGTCATGTGGGTAGCTCTCTAAAGTAGGGCCCCCCTGTTGCTTTCCCAAAAATAGTATGGCACCCTTACAAAACGACTCTGAAAAAGGGATCCCAAATTTAGAGAACTA